GGGTCAAGCTGAAGCCAAGAGCCAGGACCACCAGGATCTTCCACATCGCTGGCAGGGACCCAGGCACTTGGGCCACTCTTTGCTGCCTTCATAGGCACACTAGCAGGAAACTGAATCAGAAATGGAGAAGCCAGAACCCAGAACTCTGATGCAGAATACTGGTGTTCGGAGTCGCAGCTTTGATCTGCTGTGCTACAGTGCTGGCCCGCTCCCATGAATTCGTCATCCTTATGCACCATGGTGCCACAGTGCCCCAGTGGGGACAGCATGAAAGAACTGGGGCTGTGAAATCAGATGGGGATTGACACACAGCTCTGCTCACTTTCTACTACCCGTGGAAACACCAGCAATGGCATTTTGCTCACCTTTAACCCAGAGAGTAAATAAAGAATGAGAGGTCTATTGAGAATTAATGTGTATAACATTTGTAAAGAACACAGAACAATAGCTGGCACATCCTATAATCTCAGGGTCCTTTCCTCTCCCTTTCTTAACAAGCTCAAGCTCATTCCAATACGTGCAGCCTTGGACTGGCCCTTAAAGATCGTAGAGAAGGGGGGCTCACACTGCGGCGTAGCAGGTTAACACCCTGACCTGAGGCGCCAGCATCCCATATGGGTGATGGTTATAGTCCCGGCTGCTCCTCTTCCAACCCAGCTCTCGGCTATGGCCTGAGAAAGCAGTAGAAGATGGCCCAAGTGCTTGGACCCCTGCACCTGGGTGGGAGACCAGGAAGAAGATTCTGGCTCCTGGCTTCAGATCGGCGCAGCTCTGGCGGTTGCAGTCATCTGGGGAGTGAACCAGCGGACGGAAGACCTCTCTCTCTCTGCCTCTCCTCTCTTTGTGTAACTCAAATAAATAAATAAATCTTTTTAAAAAATCATAGAGAGAGAACCCATTGGGAAGAAAAAGCCTCAGAGACAAATCTTGCCTTATGTTAGGTGGTTGGGGTTTTTTTGTTTGTGTGGTTTTGTTTTTTTTTTTTTTTTTTTTTTTTTTTTTTTTTTTTTTTTTTTTTTTGTATAGCAAAAAATCAGAACTCTAACCCAAATTGGCTGGAGTGGAAAAGAAAACATCTATTAATTTGGCAAAAAAATGAACAATACTCCCCCCACACACAAAATCTATCCTCTCCTTCCTCTTAGTAATAGATCTTGTCTCCAGTGAGTCCAAAGATTGTCATTGTCTCTTCCATACACACTCCAGAGATGAAATTTCCCAGCCTCCCCTGTACCACGGATTGCAAAGGAAGGAGAGCAATACAATTCTCTGGTCACATTCTTCAGAAAGAAGTTGATGGCTCTACCCATAGGTTAGGAAATGGGTCAGCTAGGAAGTCACTTTGAACCTAGAGATGGAATCACAATTTGTAGACGGCGGACAGTTCTGGAATGTGATGTGGGAGAGAAGTGAACTATTTTATTTCAGTCCCTTTGTTGTCGAGTTTCGGTTACAGCTTAGCTTTAACATTAACACAATTTATTTTAGGTGAGACTCGATGCTACGCTTCCCAGCCATGTCACCAAGGATCTCATTTCTTTCATTGTCTCTAGTCTGTCTCCAGGTATGTCTGTCTTACTGCAAGACTCTATGAATTCCATGTCCCCAGCTGATGCCGACTCCCACAGTCCTCACTACACCTGTTCCAGGGATTCCCACATTAGTAACAAAAATTGCTGCAATAAGTGCAGACCTCAAATCCTCATGTAACACTCTCAGAAAGGAGTGCTATTTTCTTTGATAAGCCCTGAAAATTGCAAGAAAAGAAGGGTACTAGCAAACTTAAATAGCATACTGTTGTTCATTCTTGTCTTTGAAAGTCTTGTTTAACTATTTAACTAGAACCACTAGATCAGGTTTACATGGAATACAATGGGCTTTAAACTTAAGCTCTAAGAGTCACAGAGTGTTCTTCCAGGACCCTCTCATGTTTCTACTGTGAGAAGCAGACACTTACCACATAATATCCTACCAGGACACAGCATGGAGTAAGCCAATTCCCCAAAATGAAACTGAGTGCTACTAGGAAATATGCTAGGAAGCTGAACAATGGCAGATGTCTACTGCAGCACCTATGCTGCTATCCCCACACTTGCTACTCCAGCCAGAACCTCTCTCCTTTGCCTCGGACAGTGCTGGAAGCAGAGCAAAGTGTGCAAGGTGCCAAGGATTCACAGTGCAAGAAGGCATTCATTGTCACGTGCTGACTCTGAACTTGCAGGACCCTGAGAGTGAGTGCCCCTGCAGAGTTTGTTCCCTATGTGCCTGCTTGCCTCACACAGTTCTGACCCTTAAACCTCAGGCCCATGGAATGGCCAAAAATCCACCATTGCATTCCACAAATTTCTCAAGCTCAACCTGATAAAAAGGGATCCTATCGTCTTCCACCCACCAACCTTATCCTCCTATAGTTCCCACTGCAAGGAATCCTGGGGATCAACACTGACATCACCCTCTTTCGTCCCCTCAGTTGATCACCTAGTCCTAACCACTCAACATCATGTGTATCTCCAGAATCTACCCACGTGGCCAAGCCCCACCACCCAGCCACCCTCATCTTTCCTCTGGACATAAGCAGCAGCCCTCTAACTGGTCTTCCCATTTCTAATATAGCTTCCCTTCAAAACCTTTTCCGTACCATAACCAGGATGATCTTCCCTACCTACCTTGGCTCACAGTCTGGCCTGCCTGCTTCTCCAGTCCTGCCTGGAGAATTATAATCAGGCCTGCCCACCACAGTGTAGCTCTATGGGTCTTTTCTTAATTCCTCAGCCCCTCTGCACTGCCAGGCCTTCTCAACATGGTTTCCTCCTCTCACTCACACCCCATAATTAATTTATTCTTTGGGTATTAGCTGGAACTTCATTTCCTCTAAAAGGCCTTTCTGATCCATAAACTAGGTGAGCCCTCCCGCCACCCTTATTCCCATAACATAGAATTCTACTTTTAAAACACTTGTCAGATACCAAAAATAGCAACAACAACAAACTCTTTACACTGATTGGCTGCAAGCTCTTTACATTTTAAATTTCATATAATTTGGACCAGTGTTTGGGGTCAAGTCAGTCCTGTAACTCTCCAAATTATCACTCTGGCTTCATTCAACTGGCACCTAGAATGTGCCAGTGCTTTGGTAGGCATTCAACCTGAAGAGACTAGGGAGGCTTGAGCCACACATTCAGGGTGCTAAGAGACACTGGCTCCCTCACCTACAAAATCGGGCTATGTGCTGCAGCGTTTATGATGGTCATTTCATTTGTGATGGCTATTTGCAAGCAAGCTCAGAATCTTCTCGTACTACAGTAGGCTTCCCGCCTCAGGCAAGGGGCTCTCAGCGTTCAGCATTCTGCCCCAGGACTGCTTCCAGGGTTTCCATGATCTATTTCATCTGCGTGGGTAAGCCCAGCCCAGAAGGCAGGGGCATCGACCGAGAACCTCCAGGACTGCTCTTTTTTTTTTTTTTTTTTTTTTTTTTTTGACAGGCAGAGTTAGACAGTGAGAGAGAGACAGAGAGAAAGTTCTTCCCTTCTGTTGGTTCACTGCCCTAAATGCCCTAATGGCCGCTAGGGCCGGTGCACTGCGCTGATCCAAAGCCAGGAGCCAGGTGCTTCCTCCTGGTCTCCCATGCGGGTGCAGGGCCCAGGTGCACAGCAGAGAGCTGGACTGGAAGAGGAGCAATCGGCGCCCCGACCGGGACTAGAACCCCTAGAACCCGGAGTGCCAGCACCGCAGGCGGAGGATTAGCCTAGTGAGCTGCAGCGCCAGCCCAGGATTGCTCTTCATCCACAGGGCATGGTAGCTGGTAGGAAAAATGCCCAGCCTGCCACTCTCTCAGAAACAGAAATGAACTCCCATTACCTACAGCAGGGACCTCAAAAACACAAAGTTGTATAGCCTTTTCCTCCTTCCTGGTCCCTAAATCCTTGCTTCAAGCTGAGCTTTGAGAGGACCCCGAAATAATCCACCAAATTCACACGGTTATTGCAAAGATTAATGAGGGCAACATGAGTAAAATTCTTCACATGTTTCTTAGCACACTGGCAATGTTTAATAAGTCGTAGTTATTAATGTTGGCCATCTCATGCTTGGTGGAGGAAACAGACAAGTATAATTCAATGAGACAAATGCCATCATGGAAGAAGAAAGGAGTGGAAAGTGCAGAATTAAAACAGGTGGAAGAGCCCTCACGTTGGAGGCAGCAGGTACGGTGAGCTTTCTATAAGGTCCGCACATCAGGAGAGAAAGTCCCCAGCAAGGGACACAGGGACAGTGAAAATGAGGACTAGACAGCTGGTGGCGGGCGATGGGGAGCAGAGCGGCTCTGTGTTACTGGGGCGAACAGGCAGGCTTTCCAAGGGGTGGGAAGCGCGGGCACAGTCAGTGGTAGCGTCTCAGGCCCCCCGCGAAGGAGAAGGGTGAAGTCCGAGGTCCCTGCTGCTGGGGAAGCTGTTCCACAGGCCCAGCAGAAAGGAAGACACAGCACGGGCGCCCCTCTCCCCGCCCCTGTTTATTTGCACTCTCCTGGGCTGGACAGAACTGAGGGCTAACTCGGAGCCCGCCCCCTTCAGCACCCTGTGGAGCGTGGAGCGGGGGAAGCAGGGAACACCCCTGTCAAGTGCCAGATGTTCGGCAGGGGCCTAGGGGCTGCTAGGGGCTTTGGGGGTGAAACAGGAAACTCCTCTGGGGCAGGAAGGCTGGAAAGGCAGAGTTTTGCTGAGTGAAAGACAAGTGGCTCCTGAGCAGGGGTGGGTACTGAGATGGTACACAGAGAGGGACCCAGCGAGGGGCTGCTCCCAGCTTAACTCCTGCCTGGCTGTGCGGCCCCCACACAGCTCCTTCTGTTTTGGAGTGTGCCCTCCAGTTCGGAGGTTCGAGGTCCCCGCGAGGCAGTACGCGACCCTTACCGTAAAGGTTGGGAAGTGACTTTGTAATCACCTGGAATGAGTAGACAGAAGGAATGAACAAAGAATGTTAGCGCTTGCTCCAGGTGAGGGCCACCTGCCTGGCTTTCAGCAGATAATGATGCCTTTAATTACAGAACAAACAGAACAAAGGATCCACTGGGGAGGTGAGAGGGAGAGTCAAACTGACTACTTAGAAACGCTGCTTGGGTTTTCACTTCCACCTGCTTGCTTCAGTTACAAATTAGGAGCAGGGGGCTTTAATACAATTTTGGTCAACATTTTCCTAGCGTCATATCCCACTCCGCAACAACTCCAGCCATGGTGACAGAGCCACTCCGCACTCCCCCAGCATGCCCCTGTTGCCCCTTTGTTTTGTCATTGTTGGTGCTGCTCAGTCATTCACTCAGCAAGCATTTCCAGGGCTCCTTCTCTGACCTGGACTCTGGGCAGTGAGAAGACACAGCCCTTGCTCTCCTTAGACAGGTGGTCTAGGGTTAGCTCCACGAACCAGCCAACGTCAACCAGAAAACGACACAAGGAACTGGAAACTTCAGAGGTGCTGCCTGCTACAGAGGGAGGGACAGTGCTCCAGAGAGGAATCCAGAAGAAATCACTCTAATCGTGAGGTGAGTATGGTTACCTTTTAAGGAAAAGAAGTCTATTCTGCGCTACAGGGCTAATGCTAAGTCAATGAACTCTCTGTATCCCCCTAGACAAGACAGTCACTCCTCCCTCTGGGATATATAGTTGTTGTGGGTTTGTTTGTTTGTTTTATGGACACTAACACAGGAGCACTGTGTTACTATCTTTAGCTGTATTCCACTCTGTCTCCCCACAAAGGGTGAGCTCAGATAGTAAAGGCCTGTATCACTCATTTCTGCAGCTCCCACACTCTGCCAGAATCAAAAAGGATGTGGGAAACCTGAGCACATAGAAATGTAGATCTACTTAAAGTCAAGGTATTTTTTTAAGTGAGTAGTTTATTTCACAATTACCAATCCAAATGATGTGAGGGGTCATGCTTTTTTTTTCTTAATAAAACAAATACTTTTACAATGAGTTTGCATAGATATATTATACAATTAGTAAAAATACACCACATAGGAATATTCTAGAGCTGTCATTCAAGTAACGGATCATAAAAGTCCTTTGCTGGATTTTAAAGACATTCATCCGCAATTTGTTCATAAACCCACAGTCTGGCTGTCAAAGCGACTGGAGCAGTGAGGGTTCTTATTTCAAATATGCATTTTTATGATGTGGTCTACCTATGTGGGCAGGAACACTTAGGGAAAGGCAGGTGGGTTTCTGAGCATTGAAGCAGAAATAAAAAGAACCTGCTGAAACTGTATCTGTAAGAAGAGGTAAACATGTCTGTTGCCTTTCATGGGGTAAAGTTGTTAAAAAAAAAAAAAAGGCAGGGCCGGAAGGACTTGATTTGGTTTCATTGGCCTCCACCCCTCTGCCTGGAACATCTTTGCTGCCATCAAAACCTTGTGCATCCTTCCAGCCCCATCTCAAACACAACCTGGTTTATTTTACCAATGGTAAATGGTAAATGACTGAAATCTGCCCGAGGCATAGAACACTGGCAATGGCAAAACAGGAGAGGGGCAGGCCTCTGCCCACCTCTCCTGCATTCTTCCCTCCACACCAGGGGTGTCCAAAGTGCACAGGGGCCCTGGGTGTCTGGGCATGGTTATCTGCCCTCCCTTCCCCCTTTCTGGAGAAGTCTTAATTCCCATTAACACCCAAAGGCTGTAGAAAATCCTGTCATTTAGCTGCAATTTAGAAACCAACTACTTTTTATTTAATGACGCATTTTCCACCTCATGTAAGTACTGTTCCCCAAAACACCCATTAACTTCCCCACGAGTTGTTCTAGAATACACAGTTGGGGTATCTCTGCCATGATCACTCTGCTTGGCCTCCTCCTCTTCTGATCGCAGGGAGGAACCAGACAGTTATTGCTTAGGTGAAATGCTGAGATACCATCTCGTTTCATAGCTTGTACGACAACTCTATTTTCAACTAAAACAAGAATGCTAGCCAACAAGAAAAGCAGCCAAAGGAATGAAAAGGCGAGAGGGAAACCATCCGGAACGTATGGAAAGGGATAGGGGTCTCCCTGAGCACTCAGAGCAATGCAAAGTGAAACAGGAAAGGTGCTTTTTATGAATCGATTTGTCAAAGGTATTTACGGCGTCACACTAAACTTTCTGGAGATTTTGTCTCCTTTTTTCTATTTTCCAAATATATTCAATTTCACTTGAAAATATAATCATGGAAATTCTGTTTCAAAGCTAAGGCCTTATTACAAAATTGCATTTTAAAACTGGGAAAATGTGACTGAGCATTTTTTAAACTGAGGAATTGTTACTTTTAAAATCTTTCCAACCGGTTGCTCCCTTAAATCAGCTCATTGGTTCACCCTCACGGGTCTAGAGTCACTTGCTTTTCTGTGTTGCCGAGTGTCGACGTCTACTCTGAGTTGCTCACTTAGTGTCAAAGCCTGGCCCATGGACTAAGACCCACACAATCCTAATACTTGGAAATGCAGAAACTCCACTGTAGAAGCTGTGGGGACCACCCTGAGAGGTTCCACAGAGAAGCAAAATCAAGACAGAGGCAGCAGCAAGGAGTTCTGGGAAACTTAAAAGCGTTGTAGGAGAAGGTTTGTCTGTTACTATAAGGAAATGCTCGGGCCTGGGAACTTTATAAGGAAAAGCAAGTTCAGGAGGCCGGTGCCACTGGCTATGGTGAGGGTCCCTCTGGCTGACGCATGTTATGGCAAAAAGCCATCAAAGAGCTGGAATGCACGCAAAAGGAAGAGACCCCAGGCTGGGACAGGAAGCCGGAGAGTGGATCAGGGCTTAGGCTTGCTTTATTACAGCAACCCTCTTGTAAGAAATCACCAAGATCCCATGATAATGACCTCAATTCCTTCCAAGGGCTGCACCCTCAGTGACTTGATTACTTCCCAGCAAGCCCCACCTCTTACAAGTTCCACCATCTCCCGGCACTACTGTACTGAGGATGCAATTTCCACACACGACTCTAGAGGAACGCACCAACCCTCTCCAAACCACAGCAGACCTTGTACTCGATCCAACAAACCTGGCCTGGAATCCCGGCTCTCCCTCTTTCTGCAGTGGCCCTAAGGGAGCACCACACTTTCTCTGAACATGATTTCTTTCTTTTGAAAAGAGAGTAGCCAGAGGAAGCAATTACAGGATGGTCAGGAGGCCTGAACCAAATGGAGTAACTCAATTCAGGTGTTGGCTTGGGCGTCCGTTCCTGGAGAGATTGAGAAAGAATTTCCTGGGTCCCCAAATATAAACTTTCTGAAAGTGTGAAGTCCCCTACAAACCTCTGCAAATTCCAGACGCTTCCCTGACTTGCTTGTCCACATAAGCCCTATTTAAAATTTGCTGTCTCAGTCTTACCGTGTGGAGTCAGATATGAAGCTCAGGCCCTTTTGCAATTTCCAATACTTTTTAATAACAAGAGAACAATAATGTCATCACATGTTGTTTCCGAATAGAGCAGTGCTTACTGACATTTTGGAGACAGGGCTTACGTCTGAGATACAAATAGCCTCACAGTGGAATTCGGGCTCCTCCGCGCCCTTTGACCTTCCTCCATGCCACGCTGGCCTCGTCTGCTCCACCTTGCTGGCTGTTCCTCCCCTATTGCACTTGCTTTCCCATCTCCTGTTCTAGATATAAAGAAAAAAAAAACCTCTCAGGCAGAGAAGCCTGACTCTTCTTTTGCTGCTGAGACCTTCATTGCCAAATAGCTTATCAAGGTATTTTCATAAAGAAAGATAACTAACTCCCTGAGAGGAATCCTGGCAGTAGTTCTTGATCTGAAAAAATTGGTTTTCATTTCATTTCACACATACATGGAGGTAGCTGTGTGACCTGTGGACATTACTTAAACTTACTGTGTTCATATTTTTGTGTAAAATTAAGATTGTAATAGTATTGCACTTACAGAGTGGTATGGGAATTAAATTACTGATATCGGTGAAAAAAAAATTAGAACATTGCTTGACAGGGGATAAGGTCTCAGTAAATATTAATTATTCACTTTCACTACACATGTCTTGGATTCAGATCCCAGCTCTTAAACTCATTTGTAGTTTGGTCTTGGACAAGTTGCTTGAACCCTCTGAGTTGTGGTGTCCCTGTCTAATAAATGGGAGTGAAAATTAAACCAACCTTACAGAGCTGAGAAGATTCAGAGACATAATACCTTGGAAAAATTCTACCTGCCTAATACACAGTACATGCTCAATAAATTTGATAGTGGTAGTGGTGACCAGTAGCATAAATGCTTGTTTAAATGGTGGGGATCCCATTCAATGTTACTCATTTGGGGAGCAGTATACTTATCCCACTCCTGTTAGCAAGAAATCTTTGGAACAGCATGAGAATATCAGTTACCCACAAACTCATCAACAGCAAGGATTGCAGCTAAGATTTTGATGTCTTTATTTTATTTTTGTGTCACTGAGATTATGTTATATAGACAATGTGTATCTTCTTTCGCACTTTTACACTTCACATGACATTAAATGTTTGTTCTCATGCCTTTAAATTTTTATATACTTTGTTTTAACAATCACATAATATTCTATTGTAAAGATCTTCCATAATTTATTTAACAGTCCTCCCCTTGCTGGACATTTAGGTTGTTTACAATTCTTGGTTATTGTAAGTAACACTACAAGAACTGTTTTTGTCCAGCAGTCTGAGCCTGTGTGTTGGATTATTTCCTTTGACTAAATCCCTAGCTAGAGAATTACTAGGCCAGAAACTATGAACTCATGACACATAGCACCATATTGCTCTCCAGATCTCTCACGTAACTGAAGACGATAATCCTCCCCCTGGGACCTGAACCACTCCGATCTTTCTATCACTCCTCATGTGACTCAGCACCCCGGGCTCCCGCCGTTCTCACCGTGTTTTCTCCAGAATGAAAGCCCACACTCCCAAGCCAGCATTCAAAGCTCTTCTAACCCAGCCAACTTTATCTCTGCCTCCTTCACGTCTGCTGGACCACACCTCACTTTCCAACCACTTCCTTCTGCTCAGCCACTGCTTCCTTCCTACACCTTTTTCCTATACTCTGTCACTCGTGCCTTTCACACTCTTGCTGCCTAGGAAATCAATCTCCTCTTTCAAGACAAGGCTCCAGTGCCACCTCTTCTGTGAAGCCTCCTGGATTTCTGCTGTCCCTGCCCTAGGAAGAGCTAACTGATCGGTGCCCCCCTACTCTGCTGCTATCACCCACAACAGCAGTTCAGGGCCCCACCATGAAACAGATGACCTACTCAAATTTGGATAATTCAAGGAAAATACAGTAAAGGATGATTTATGAAGATGAGCAGAATGTGGACAAAGTACAAAAAATGGTATGGTACCCAAGGGCTAGTAAGTCTTGTCACATTCCCACACGATGGAAGGTTGAAGACAGCATGGCTTACTCGGACTAGAAGGACCATGATGGAGAGCCCCACCTTGGGAGGTGCTTGGACTTCCATCAGAGGAAGTCCTTTCAAAGTCAGCCCCAGGTAACTCCACAAGGGAAGACCCAGAGGACGAAATACCTTGACTTC